AACAGTCTGTACTCTGTGGCCTTTAACACTGCTGCCCTGATAGCTGTTCACATTTCACCTTTCGTTGTCAATAGCAGTGTTTCTGCAAGTGATCTTACTAAAGAAAATGTTACTTCCCTTCTCCCATCACAAACCCCCAAAAAAACCTGACTTACTACAAACTCCTTTGTGTTTTAAGGAGTGCTGTGTGGCTTGATAGCTATTGCTGATACTGTAAAACCAGAAGCTGAGCTGGCAGTCTACACATTGAAGAATATGGGTTTAGAAGTTGTTCTAATGACTGGTGACAACAGCAAAACAGCAAGATCCATTGCCTCTCAGGTAAGCAGTTAGGTCTGTGTTGTGGTTTGAAGCTTGCTACATCCCACTTGCAGAACAGATATTGTCATGCTGCTGCTGCATGTGGCTAGCATAGAAATGATGTGTGGTGAAAAATGGTAATGTATAGTGAATAAGAAGGGGGACTGAAGAATCCTTTTTGAATGGGAGTAATGTTAGCTTTGAAATGAGACTTATTTTCATATCAGATGGATTTGATCTTTGGCTCATGAGCATGACATTCGGCCTCTATAGTACAAGCTACCACCTCTAATAATGCGATAGCTAGTGAGAAAGCTATTCTGGTGTTCTCTCTCTCTACCTTTCCCCATAGGTTGGCATCTCTAAAGTGTTTGCAGAGGTTCTTCCCTCTCATAAAGTGGCCAAAGTGAAACAGTTACAGGATGAAGGAAAACGGGTGGCCATGGTTGGAGATGGTATCAATGACTCCCCAGCACTCGCTATGGCTAATGTGGGAATTGCTATTGGCACGGGCACTGATGTAGCCATTGAGGCAGCTGACGTGGTTCTCATTAAGGTAAGAAAGAGGTGTGTGTGATAATTTCAATTGCGTTGGTGTAGCACCTTCATAAACAATTACAATTAAGTACTGTCTTTGTCTTGATGTTTAGTAGTGTACTTGTCCTATGAAGAAATCTTTCCTTATTTTCTGCTACAGATTTGGGGGCAGTTAGAGCTTGGAAGTGGCCAAGGAACTAAAAGTGAGGTGACTTTTGGCAGTAGTGAGTTATACTTAAGGAACATATGGGAATATCTCCAATGTTATAGTCACTTCTTCCCACATATCAACAATACCTTGACAGAGAGGTAAACATATAGAGCTGTACCACATAGATGGTGCTGTGTATGTTCATTTGGGTTGTGGGGATGTCTGGAACAAAATTGGTGCTCATTGTATGAGCTCTACGCAGACATAATAGATCAGCCTACAGAAAGTTCAGCACGTGTAGCCTGTTAACATCCGGTACGTGGCAGTTAGCTTTAAAGTGGGAATGTGGTGGTGGTGCACGTGTATGCTTTTTATATCTGACATTCCCAATAAATGTTGACTTCCAGGATGACTTGATGGATGTGGTAGCAAGTATTGATTTGTCAAGGAAGACTGTCAAAAGGATCCGGATCAACTTTGTCTTTGCGCTAATTTATAATCTTGTTGGAGTTCCCATAGCTGCTGGTATGTGAATGTTTCCCTGTGATAATAAAATTGTGCTCAGTCATTAGATGACAGCAATGTATTTCTGTATGGGATAGAATCCATTTTCTTGGTTTCTGACTGACATTAAGTGCAGAGTTCTGTGCCTGCAGTGTGCAGTGACGTATTTGTGCACTGTCCTCTCTGATATTACAGCTACTATAGATGCACCTGGCACATAAACCCACTTTAAAATAAGCTGTTCATTGAGTGAGCCCGATCTTGTGAACAAACATTTTACTGAAGGCTGGCAAGGCATGCCTACTTCTATATATCATACTATATAAACGACAAATTCAGATGTATTCGCTTATGGGTTCTGCCTGAGCTAGAATATAAATATTTATATTAAGCATTTGTCATTTAACGCTATGCTGAAAGTATATTCATAAATATAATTGAAATGGAACTAAAATTAGACAGTGTAGTGGAGTTTGGGTTTTTACAGAAGACAGTGGATTTGTACTTGGAGAATGCCATGTTCCTGCCCTGAACTCATCATTTTCTTTTTCTAGGTGTGTTCTTGCCCATTGGTCTGGTTTTGCAGCCCTGGATGGGATCTGCAGCAATGGCTGCCTCCTCTGTTTCTGTTGTGCTTTCTTCTTTGCTGCTAAAGATGTGAGTACGAGCAATGTTGTTATTTGTAGTTTAGATTTGAAGCTCAGACCTTTTTCTCTAAGTGATTGAAAATGAATGTGGGACTATGATATGTGAAACTTCTTGAAGAACAACTTTTGCACATCTGTGGTGGGTTTTCTCTTTACTGGAGAAGAGTAATCAGACCAAAAATGTTTCAGACAGTAGTGTTTAAAAATGTAATTTCTATCATGAAGAGAACTGTAAAAATCAGAAGCATTCACAATTTAAAATTCCTTAGTGCCCTTTGTATATTTTGGAGAAACCTCAGCACGTGCTGATTTCTGAGAAGTGAGTCTCCCAAAGCAATTCAGCTGTACACAGTGCAGCAGCACTGGGGATTGTTGATACATAAACTAAGCTGCATTTGTGAATGAACAATTTGTTCTTGCTTTGCAGCTGGGAGCACTGGAGTAGGAATGGTGTTCTTTGCAGTTCAGTTAACGTGTAGGGTTTCAGGGAGCAGTCTGCTCTCAGTAATATGCTTTGCTGATACACGTTTTGCAGATGCTCAGCTCCACTAAAGCAGTTCAGTACTGAGTGGTACATGTCTGCCTTACCCGTTCTGCATCCTGGCCAAAAAGCACCAAATTAACTTCTTGTTATAAAGCTTTGTGAAATCTGGAACTGTTATCACTGCTTAGTAAATGGTATTATAAATGTGTGTGTGCATAATAATAGCACTTACAAGCTAGCTTCTTTCCATATTTTAGTGTCTGTTACTTCAACCTAAGACATGCTGACCTTCTTCTGTTTCTTCCTTTCTTTAGGTACCAGAAGCCAAGTTCTGAGAAACTGGAGCTCCGAGCCCATGGCCAAATGAAGCAGAAGAGCCCATCAGAAATCAGTGTCCATATTGGAATTGATGACACTGGGACAGGCCCTCGTAAGCTGAGTTTAATGGATCGAATCATCAATTACAGCAGAGCCTCCATCAATTCTCTCTTTTCCGATAAGCGGTCAGTGAACAGCATAGTTCTTAACGAACCAGATAAGCACTCACTGTTGGTGGGAGGTTTTGGAGAAGATGATGACACGACGTTATGAATGATTTCCAAAAGGAAAAGAGAAAGGAAGTAACAAAATGGAAAAAATAATCGAAACAACCTGAAAACTGCCTACAGGCTTGTGCAAGCAAAGATCATTTCTGGACGTTGTTACAGATGCTTTTCTGCCTTTCTGGGGTTTAATTTTATCTATACAGGTATTTCTTTAATGTAGAAAATAAGTTTATTTCCAATGGCCTTCTAGTGTACTACTTTTTTTTTAACTAGACTTGTCAAAAAAAAAAAAAGAGGCAGAAGCTTGCAAATAGAGCTGTGTTTACATGAAGCTTGAAGTGCAGAATCTTCTGGCAGAATGTCAAAATACAATTAAGGAAACTAAAGAAGCAGAAATGTGCGTTCCAGCCTTTTAAATGGGTTTCTTTATACACAGTCAGATTTAATGCTGTGTTTAAAAAAATTTCGGTATTTTACAGATGTGGCAGTTTGTAAGTTCTGTGTTTGCAGATAGATGTGCCTTACTTAAAAACTTCTAGGACTGCTCTTGTTTCCACAGCCTGCATTGTACCAGAAATCATTCCTCTCGAACGCCACCATCTCTTTTATAAATGTCTGGTTCCAACTTTTCTTGCTCCTAGTTTCAAAAGAGATTTAGTGATTGCTTCCTAACATCAGGTTAAACCTGGGTTTAACACTGTACATCCTTGCCCTAGTACACTCCTACAAAGATTGTGTGTTTGAAGATCAAGCAGGCTGGGAGGCTTGCTCTTTCTCAACTCACAATCTCTTCAACAGAGATCTGAGCATTGAATGTGACGTGCTGTTTGCTGAAATGCTTAGCTTTTAAAAAGGCAGCAATGTAGCCAGTGCTTACTGCCAAAATCAACTAGCTCTCCTTAAACAAGCCAGAGTAGTTTGGTGTCACACAGACTACCTTTAAAATATTTACAGGTCAGTCTCTGGGGATATCTAACCTCATCAGAGAACTTATTTTTCAGATACTGCACTAACACCAGTTGCCTGTAGAGATAAGTGGGCCAGGAATGGTCCGGAATCTGCTCCATCAATCCAAACCTTTTTAGTTTGGGATGTTCAGATTTAGGCTTTGTGAATTAAGACCAACTTCATTTGTTACAGAACTGAAATCTCAAAATGCAAGTTTGATCATTTAATCATGAATATTTAAAATATTCTCAATGAGAACTAAAGTTGGTGTTCATCACCCAGTAGCTAGCTACCTATTTGGTATTTAGTAAACCTTGTTTTTAAATCCTATGCTGAGACAGCAATCTAAAACAATTATGAAGTTCAATACTGTTGAATTAAATCATAAGATACAAATAATGGTGTAAACATGTGATTCCAAACAGTGCCACTAAAATGTAATATCCATTTCAGAATAGGACAGGGATCTCTGTAATGGTCTAATTTTTAACTTAATCTGTGAGTGCATAGATTGAGCACATAATAAGTCAAAAGCAATTTTTACTTTTTTTTAACTTTTTTTTTTAACACACAGGAAAAATACCAGTGTAAAAACAACAGAACTGTGCTGTGGGTTATGTTGTTGTTAGTAGATCAGTATACGTTGCTATATTGCAGTGAGGACAAACAAAATTGATTGCTGCCACAAATTTAAGAAACAAAATATTTCTGTCTCAGAATTAGGCTCTTAATATCTCTACGTGAGTACAGGTTTTCACTCCCATTAGGTTGTATGTATATGTTGTGTTATGAAATTCTGAGATGCACTACTGCAAAGCCATTTCACGAAGATGTTTTTCTTGGTTTTCAGCAACAAAGCTATTTCTTTCAAACTGGATACTTACCTAAAGGCCAACAGAATGCTCTCAAGCAGCTTTTTGTGCTTTAAGGCTGTGTAAACAGTTTCCAAAGATTTCAGTTGTCGTGTTAAATGTTGTTCATTCTCAGTGTTGTTCTCAGCAAGATTCTGCAGATGAAACAGGAAATGTTTTGCAAGTTATTGTCTGAGTTTTGCTGATAACAGGTCATCTAAATCACACAAAGGCACAAGGCAGATCCTGACATTCTTTCAGTGACTTCCACTGCTGCGGGTGCTGCTCCAGCCCCTGCTATGGTGCATGTGGTCTGTAAGTGACAGACATCGTGCCCTTACTGCAAAGATACAGCAGTTACATGGGATCTCATCCCTGCTCTGTAGATAAAGCTGCATGAGGAGTTTGTTCCGTTCTTTCAAAATACATTTTTAGAGCTGGTATGGGTAGAAACCAAACCTCTGACAGAAGCTCACATGAAGCCATGCCTCTTGCTAACAGCACTGGTCAAGACTGAGCCTGGAAGTCCTTTTCAATCCAGTTTTCCTCTGTAAGAAAACCTGCCTGTAAATGTCTTTTGAACTTGAATTTAGTACACAGTGCATTTGAGTGCAGCATAGCTGATTAAGGAAGTCCAGGTCTTTGAGAACAGTTTGTCTGTGCAGCCCTGCTTCTCGCTCGCCTGATGTGTAATACTGACTTGCAGAAAGCTGTTCTTGTGATGAAAATATCTTACAAGGTGCTTTACAGTGAGGAACCAAAATATTTTTCAGTTTCAATGTACAGTGCAAGTGAAATAATGTGGGAGGTAAATGTGTTCTTAAATGTAAATGTTTTACTATGTAAGTCCCTTAACTCCTCTTGTAGGCTGTTTGAGTTCAAGAATCTAAAATATCTCTTGGAAACACAGTTACAAATGGAATTATGTATTACTCGTTTGTTTTGTTTTCTGTAACTATTTATAAAACCTGTTTTATTTAAAGATATATATATATATATATACACACACACTCTTAAGGCTTTAAGCATCACTCCGAATCTTACCAATAAAGTTTTAAAAGTGTAGACACTTGAAATTTTAAATGAAAAAGAATGTGAAGCTGGCAGAACACAGTGAAAGCAAGCAATTTTATTTATTACAGATGTTGCTTAAAACAAGTTCCATCCTAATGCTTTAAATTTGAATGGAAAAAAGAACGCTATTATGGAATGTTAATTTAGTACTGTTACATTTCTTTATATTGAGGAAAATGCAGTTTCATAATTCTTATTCTTTTAAGATTGTTCCTCCATTATTATAGTGATAATTATAAACTGTATAATAAAAGATCTATCTTTATTCATGTTCTGTGATCTCCTTTACTTTGTGTGCTGACTTCACAGATTCTGCAGCTAGCTGTTCAAAATTTGTTCCCATCCCTTCCTCCACACTGTTAAATTAAAGGGCAACACGTGGCATCTCTGGGACATGGTGATGTTGGATTCACCGTACAGCAGGTTGAAGTGTGTGTGTACAGGATGATTCTGAAGGCCTTTCATATTGCATGCATTTTGTCTTCGCCAAGTAAGAACTCACTCTGAAACTGGAAAGGTGAAGCAGTGTTGTTTTGGTTTTTTTCCCCTGATTTGGCTAAGGGATGAGTAGTAGGGTTTTCTTACATGTGCTTCCAACGCTACTCAGCTGCATGCCCTGCAGCAGCACGCCCAGCCTACTTGAAAGAGTGTGTTTGAGTGAAAGCTGGGAAACTGGGGAATAATCCTTACATAAAGGACATCTCATTATTACAGAATGAGAGTAGTTGGTGTTGGAAGGCTGCTGAAGATTGTGAATGGAGCACAAGAAGTGCAGATCTTACCAAAGCAGGTGCCACAGCAGGCTGCCCAGTACTGAGTCTCGTCAAACCTTTCAGAGTCTCCACCACTGCTCAGAGCAGGGGAAGGAAAAAAAAGCTTTCCTATTTTGAGATGAAACAGGAATTCCTGTGTTTCAGTTCGTGCCTGTTGTCTCTTGCCCTTTTTGCCTTTACTATGGAGAAGGGCCTGGCTGAAGCGCTGTCATTCAGGCAGTCACACCATGTCTCAAGGAAAAGTGCCAGGCACGAACCTGTGAAAGAGCTCAGTGTGAGTACTCCTGTCTTTCTGTAGTGGAGATGGCCAGGTTCCATCCACAGAATACTTCTTGGACTGGGCACAAATCCCCTGCAGCACAGGAATTACTCTGATCAATATTTGAAGAAATGAGGACTGGTAAGTGAGGAAGGCTCCCTTCTCAGCTCTTCTGTCCAGCTGCTCTTTTTACTTCACTGTAACCCTAACCTGGTCCTCAGGCTCTGGTCTCTGGCTGGCGTTTTCTCCAGGGTATTTTCTACTTTCCACTGCCCCTCCACTGCCAGCCTACCAACATCTGCATCTTGACATTGTGAGCCAACAGAATAAAACAGGAGGCATTACTTTCAGAGCAATCCTCATGTTTGTTTTTAATCCCTGCCCTTTTTTTATTTTAGTGCTTTTATTTTAGTATAGCTTTTAGTATAGCTAAGTTTATTTTAAATGCATTCTTCCCTGTTTTTTTTTTCCAGTAGTGTTTATAGAAAATGTCTCAGCAGAGCAGTCTGAGAGCCCTGAAGGTCAGGCTTTGAGGCAAAATTCAGCATCTGTCCAGATGCCAGAGCTGTGCTACTGTCAGTGTTCTTTTTTTTTTCCTTCTAGTTAACTGGATAATTTTAGTAGCTGTGAATTTGTATCATTTCTTCCAGATGACAAGTGAGAACACCTGAAGAGGATAAGATTTTTGTGTCCCATTAAGTGCATAACTAAAATGAACTGCTGAACAAGAGCTTGAGAGCTGTGTGCATACACGTCCAGATGCAAGAAAAGAGAGGGGACTTGTATAGAGCAGGATTCTAGGCAGAGCTGTGGTTGGCTGATGCTTCTGAGAAATGGAAGAACATTCCTTGCTGTAAAATGCTTGAGTTCAAAATAGGTACAGTCTGCTGAGCCACTGAACTCAGTAGGCATCTTCAGGGAACAGAGAACAGGCTGCAAATAATTGTGTCTTTGTCAGAGAGGCCTTGTGTGCCGGAGCAGCAGAGCAGTCTCCCACGGCCAGTTTCACAAGATAAAAGCAGCAAAGAAGGAAATCAGTGCTACCTTCTTTCTCCTCTGTTGTATCCCGTGCTTCCACAGCCTGCCTGCCCAGCTATGTGAACTTTGGTTTGTGCTCAAAGCAAATGTCCTCATTAAGAAGGTAAGAGAAACAGGCAAAAAGGACCAGATTATTTCAGCGTTCAGCAGTTAGTGAGCAATTAACAAATCAACAAAGCAGACATTACGTCAGGAAGTTTAAGAGCAATTAAAGAAATGTATTAAAACATAATAAAGCAAATCGGAAAACAAAGTGAAAAGGATTAGGCGATGAACACAGAGGGAGCACCTGGCAGAGCCTGGGGAGCAATACTTGCAATGGGAGGCAGAAAAACCTTTTCGTTGTTCCTTGCTGCAGCAGTGAAACCCCTGGGCGAGCGCTGGCACGCCATTAGTGCCCAGTGAGCAACCGCGGAGCTCCCCCCAGGGGGCCCTGCTCCTTAAAACGTCTGGAAGCGGCATCTGCTGCGCGGAAAGCCTGGGCGCACCGGGGGTCGGGCGGGCCGTGCTTCTGTCGGTGCACCCTGCGTTCCGAACTGCACAGTAAGTTACGTTCTGCTCGCCGTCCAATCGCTGACGGAGCTATTGCGGCAATAAGTGCGGATTTCTCTTTTTATTATTTCCTGACTGTTGGTTACACTGATTTGTTGTCCCTTTTTTGATTTAGGCAGTAGTAAATGTCAAGAGCAAAACACAGCTGGTTGAATTACAATAGAGAAAGGTGCAGTTCAGGTTCCTTCCTGAACATCTTCCATTTCAAGGAGAAAGTTAAAAAGCACCCTCGTAGCTTTCTTACAAAATTATTATCTTGCAAATTCCACTGAAACCTGTTGGTTGTTTTTTTTTCAAGTATAAACTTAAACTACAGACAGTAGTTCTAAAAACAGGATGGCTGCATCACGTGGCACAGAAGACCCAGATAACCGGCCTCCAAGCCCTTCTGCTCATTTCATTTAAACACGAAGGCCGGTGCACAGAAGCCCACAGTCTGCCTAAACTTGCCGCGATCTCATTCCTTTTGGTGAAAGCAGACAGGATGCTGCAGATGATGGCTGCGTCCCTGAAAGCTACATTTCTGCTTCGTGTTCCCAGAAATGACTCACCACAGTGCTCACTCCACATCCTTTTTTGCTTTTTTTTTTTTTTTCTTTTTTTTATTATTTTAGTTTACCTGTTCTTTGCCCTCCTGAGTTTGTTGTATCAGTTACTTTAAAAGCACAGGTTTTGAACTGTTTGCACGGGCTTTTTTCTTTAAATATTTGCAGTATATTGTAGATATTTCACAACACAGGAAGGACAGAAAGGTGACTCAAATTTGGAAATCAGCTTTGAGTCTTAAACACACATCTGTAATGCTTCTCCTTTCTTTAATTTCTTGACAACGCACACATTCCCAGCCATATCCCATTTGAAATTATATTCTTCCTCCTCCCCACAAGTTCTTAAGTGACTTCCTCCCACCCTTTCCCTCCTGCCTGCTTCCTAACAAACAGAGAAAGAAACAAGCAAACGTAAAACCTGAGTCCACCTTACAAATGATGCCTGCAGTGATGCCCCAAATCAACGGACCCTTATAGCTGCACTAAGATCCTAATTTCAGATTATCAAAGACATTACACAGTACTGGCCTCTCATACATATATATTTGTAGTGGATTTAGTCCTAGCGAGTTGCATTTTATTGGTTGTTTTCTATTATTCTTATCCTTGTAGGATACTGCACTGGAAGAGCATGAACGTTATTCCTGTATTTCTATTCCTGTATTTCACTTCTATGTTGGAAATAGTTTTGAAGTATTTTTACTATTTGATTCTTCCCAAATTCAGTCAAAATGACTTGTGCAGTCCTTTATTCCTGACCACTCTCTGCTAACTGAGGGCTAGCAAGAGTCTCACTGCCCCTTCTCCTCAAGGAGCTTTGCCATAAAACCGCCTTGCATCTTGTGTTACTGCGGGTGCTCAGGTTACTGTGTGCACTATGACATTTCTCCTTCATGCTTTTTTACTGCTAAGAGATGGCACACAAGCTTTTCAAAAGAAGACCTTGTAATACTGAATAAATTCAAGTACTGAAGAAAGCAAATCTGGACTGTGGGAAAGCTGGATTTGGGACCAGTTCAGCATTTGATTTGGTGGTGATCAGCACTATAGCATCAGTGGTGCTAGACTGCCTAGCTTACTGGTGATACAGCGCTGCACTCTGATCTCTGCCTTACAAGATCCCTGCTGGCTACTGGAGGTTCAGAGCAGGTTTACTAATCTGAACTCGCAGGAGGGGCCCTTGGATCCATTCTAGGTTTACTTTGCAGTGTATTGAGACCGTTATCTGACCTATTTTAATTTGAACCCAGACTACTTTAAAGTTGTAGATAATGCCAGGGGGATTGGCAAATAACTTGGTTGTATGGATGTTTCTGACCTGCCTTGAGGCCTGTCCACCTTCTCGGAGCCTTCAGACACCTCTCACACCACAGGGCTCCTCAGCTTCTGCTCCAGCACTGGTGGGATGTTTCAGTCCACATGTGAGGGAATGCGTTAGTTTTGCTCTCTGCATACCTTCATGTTTTGATTCTTGTAAGCACACTTTTTGTGTCCCCTTCTCGCTGTTCTGTTGCAGACTGCTCAGCCACATGTAGCCCTGCCTTCAGTAAAGAGCAGAACAGCAAAGATCAAGCATTTGACTTGCTAACAGGCCTTCCTCACAAGCGTGTTGAGTGAGAATGGCAACGCATCAACCTGCCGACAAACGTTAGGCCGAGCCACGAGTCGTCAGTTCTGCTCTTGGTCCTTCAGCCCCAGCTCAGCGGGTCGGTGCCCACCCTGCAGCTCAAGGCTCCCCTCCCGCGGGCACGTCTTCGCCCTTTCTGTAGAACTAGCCCTAAAATAACACCTAGAAGCATTCATTTCGATAAGACTGGAAATGAAGGGGGATTCATTTCAGCGCAGCACCGCGAAGACGAGGCCCGAAGCGCCGCACGCCCCTCCTCACTCCGCGCCGCCCCCACGCGGCAGCGGCTCCGTGCGGGACGTGACCAGGCCTCCGCCGCAGCGCGGCCTCTCGCGGAGGCGGGCGGATGGCTGACGGGCGGGCGGCTCGTCCAATAGGAGCACGCCGCGGACCCCGTGGGTCCAATCAGCAGCGGGCGCGGACGAGACGGCCGGCGTAGCGGCGGCGCAGACGGGTAGCGCGGCAGAGTGAGGGCGGCGGCGGCAGGGAACGGACGGCGGGGTCGGCGATCGGTGGTAATCATGTCTCTCTCCAACAAGCTCACCCTGGACAAGGTGGATGTGAAGGGCAAGCGGGTCGTCATGAGGTGAGCAGCAGGGCCGCGCCCCGTGCGTGTAAACGGGGACGGCGAGGCCCCGGCTGCGGTCCCACCGAGCGAATCCGCGTGCTGCGTTACGAGAGATGCGCTGCGGTTCCCGGCGCCTCCCGGTCGCTGTGCTGCACGCCCCGGTTTCGCTGTTCGGGGAGCGCGCCGTGCTCTGCGCTGCTCTGTGCTGCTCTGTTACGCCCCGTTGGGGAATGACGGCGCGGTAACGGTGCTCTTGTGTCCGGTTTGTAGACTTAGTTCGTTGTGCTTGGCTGCCGGGTCGATTTGTTTCTGCTCATCTCCTCCCGCTTTGCTGGCGGCTTTTGTCGTTCCCGTGTGTCTCCGTGTCGAGCAGGCAGCAAGAAAATCCAAGGACTACTAAATGGGGGTGTTTTTGGTGCAGGTGTGGAATAACGAAGGATAAACTGTAGCGTGCGTTTGACTGGGTCTGATACTCCGTTACAGCCGGTTAGGCGTTCCCTTCCTCCTCGGGAGGAAAAAGATGGTGCTGCTCAGCGCCGTGCCTTGGCCACGCTTTCCCTGCGTGAGTCAGGGAGAAGAGAAGCCGCTCTGCGAATAATTTCTGCCCTGAGCTGTTACACAACCGGTTTCCTGCTGCTCACCACGTGGGCACGAGGTATGCTAGGCAGAAATGGCTGGCGGAACTCCTCCCCTTTATCCTTTCCTCTGGCGCGTGTAGGGGAAGCTACCTCTCCATCTAGGTAGGGTCTTCCCTACGGCCGTAGTGCTCGGCTCCGAGGGGATTGGAGCTGCGAAGAACGGAAAGCTCCCAGGCGGTGATCTGAGAGCATGGGTTTCACAAGGAGAAGTGGGGCAGCTCGTTCAGTCTATTTTGTGCCTTGGCATCGTTGCTGCTGTGGTCGTGAGAGTTGGCTTGTATTGGTGGTATGCAGCCTGCTGCTTGTTCTTCAGTTGTACTGTCGTTACAAGAATAAATGGTTAATAACACACGGGTCTTTGTAACAGAACTTGTGCACAAAGCAGCTGAAAATCTGACTCTAACCTTAGTGATACTGCATTTCCAGATAGATGCTTTACTTTCAAGTTCCTTCATTCTTTGTTAATTTTTTTGTTTGTTTGTTTTCTGCTTTTTTTAGGGTTGATTTCAATGTTCCAATGAAGGATCACAAAATAACCAACAATCAAAGGTGAGACCCAATTTTCATCCAAAAATGAAGACCCGAAGTCCATTTTCTCTCTCATTTTATCCCAATTCTGTTAGCAGTCCCTGGAGTGGTACCGTGGTTACACTGTCCCTGCTGGTACTAGAGTATTAGAGTTGACTCAGAATGGTTATTTAAATGCTTCTGCAGCTGTTTGCAAACAACGCTTACCACAGACCTTCTCACTGTAGAGAGCACATTAAAAATACCACTTAACTGTATGGATCCTAACCATTATTTCTGAAGTATGGTTGCAGTATTATGGCCACGTTACAGCCAAATGTCTGTTTGGCTCTGATTGCTGTACTTGATGGTGGCATCCAGAAGACTTTCTGCTCTCCTTACTCTGTTAACTTGTTGGTTTACATCAGCATAGTTGTTCTGGAGCTGCACATGAAAACACAGGGCTTAGAATTAGGGATATACAATGTCTTTTTATCTTGCTTGTTCATCATTTGTAGGCAGATAACAGTTTTGGTCAGCATTCCCATCGTTTCTTATTGATTCAATATCAGTGATTAGATCAGGAGCCCAGTAGTATTCATATGCTTCCTGACAATTTTTAGCTACGAGCTATCAGCAGCATTTGGATGACAGGGTACACTTGACTTCCATCTCCTGTTATCATGGAAGATCACAGCAGAAAACCTGAAAACACTGTGGGATAGGGAAATTATTTGGTATATGATGCGTAATGACTGTGCTTCAGGGATTGTCAGTTTCCCTGGGAAGGAAATAGGCTGCGTTAGCACCAGGGCAGCTGTGCTCTGTGAAGTGTGGTAGTCTCCTAGATGTTTGTCCTAGCAAGTGTAGGCTGCTGAGAAGCCCAGTGTCCCTTTTAGGAATGTACTGGTGGCGATGCCCTGCTGTCTTCAGAAGTACACTGAACTGTGTGAACATGAGAGGGAGGATGTTAAGTAATCGTTCTACCTAGCTCTCGTGTTCTCTTTCTGTTACCTTCTTGAAGAACAACTTCCAGGACTCTTGTGTGAGTGATTATCAAGTCTACTTGTGTGGCAAACTCTAGCTGAATCCTTTTTCATTTGGTTTTCTCTGCCATTCCAGAATCAAGGCAGCTGTCCCTACCATCAAGCACTGCTTGGATCATGGAGCCAAATCAGTGGTTTTGATGAGTCACCTGGGCCGCCCAGATGGAGTTCCCATGCCTGACAAGTTCTCCTTGGCTCCAGTAGCTGTGGAGCTTAAAGCTCTCTTGGGCAGGTGAAGTAGCAGAACAGTTCAGCGTGCATCAGTCCCTCCCTGTGAGCAGACCTGGATGCTTTCCTTTTGGATAGAGAGTCACTAGTGGGATGACAGTGTATATCTTGTCTTTGCAGGGAAGTCTTATTCCTGAAGGATTGTGTTGGTCCTGAGGTGGAGAAGGCCTGTGCTAATCCTGCAAATGGCTCCATCATCCTGCTGGAGAACCTCCGATTCCATGTAGAAGAAGAAGGGAAAGGGAAGGATGCTTCTGGGAACAAGGTGAAACTTCAAGTTTAGGTTCTGCGTGTGCCTCCTCTGGTCTTAATACCTTGGTTGCAGCAGATTGACAATGAACTAGTTGCTCATTCAAAATGCTGTTTATGATTTCATTCTCAGAAGGGAACCAGAGAGAGAACCTTTGTTCAACAAGTCTGACACCTGCACTATGCAGTGGAAAAGTCTGAGTCAAATGCTTTGAATATCCAAGATGAAACAGCTTAAGTGAAAGGCTGTAAATGATTGCCAGGGGTCTGTAGTCTGTAAAAGGAATGAAATAGGGCTGTCCAGGAAGCTGTGGAGATGTCTAAAATAAAATTCTGCATCTGTTGGAGATTGTCATTCTCACAGCACTAGCCACAGTGAATTTTTCAATTTTGTCTCAGCTAGTTCTTTAATGTGCTGATCAAATGTTCTGCAACATAGAAATTATCAAACCCCGTTATAAGCCTGTCTGCTCTTATGGTAGCCATCAAGAATCTGGCTGCCTTGTACCTCTGACATTTTCTTGAAGGTCAAGAAGAATGTTTGCTCCAGACAGCTGCTTTTCTTAGCGATAGTGACCGTGGTGACTTTACATAGATTTTGGCTCCTTTCATATTCAGCGCATGGAGGGGAGTGCTGACACCGTGTGGTGCCCTTTAGAGGCTGGTGCAGGAATCCAGTAGCTTAAGAAAATAGCCCAGAGTAGCTTACTAAGTCTGTGCAGATGAAAATAAGAAATTGAGTGGGTTCGAAGTTAACCACAGTCATGTGTAACTGAAAGTCAGTGTGGTGGCGGGGAGAAGAATGGGACAAGAACTTAATTTGCTTTGAGAAACAGTCCCTTCATTTTGTGTACTAGTGTGCATACAGAAGCATGTGTTGCAGCTGGGCAATGCAGAAGGGTACTGCTGACAGATGAGTTTCTCAGCTTAACCATCATGCCCTGCCCACAGGGGAGGGAAGGGTTGTCCAGATACAAATTTGTGGGTTGTCAGCTGATGCTTGGAAAATGTCTGTCCAAAGCAAATCAAGTGGTAGTGGTTCCTTCATTCAGAGTCTCATGTTGTGCTTACAGATGCTCTAACAGAAGCATTTCATCTCTTGGTACAGCCAGGCAATTTAATGAGTGAAGGAACAGTTCTAGCATTGTTCTAGAATCTGCATGGTCCCTCTAGCTTGTGTTCTGCTCAGGCTGTGTTAATTAAAGGGCATGCAAAGCTGAACTACTTCCCATTTAGGATTTGGTAGGATGCCTGGATGATGGAGGAAGTCCCTTAACAGAAATGTGTCTGTTCTTGCCTAGTACGTGCTAAGCTCATTTCCAGTGTTCCTATGTTGGCTGCTGTCACTGTGGCCTGTTGTAGTGTGCAGGCTATTTATAAGTTAATCCTCAGTGCAGGGATGCAAAATGAATCCATCAGCTCATTGTTTTACCTGTAGTGCTTAGAGACCACGCTTTCTTTGTTCAGTAAATGAGTGAATTTGAATGAGTTTTGTCTCATCTCAGCACTGACTTCTCTTGCATACCTTTTATGTGTTAGCTGTTTCACCTCATGTAAGTAGAAATCTGTTGGAGAGAGCAAAAGGTTGCAGTCCATGCCTGCTTTACTGATGCAGCTGGAAATGGCAGTGGTCCTCAGGGCTTTAATAGTAAGCTCTCAGAGTTTAATACAGAGTTAAAACTATTTAAACATCTTTTTTGTTTCTACTGGACTGGTAAAGAGCATACGAAATGAAGACACCCACAGTTGAATTTCTTCAGCTGATCTGTCTTCGCGGTTTTTTTTTCCTTCTTTTTTAGAAGCCCATTGCTTATAAATTACTGGATTTCACTTTAGTTTTATGTGAGTAGCACAAACTTGTCATTCTTTTTCTTTTTAGATCAAAGCTGATGCTGCAAAAGTGGAGGCTTTCAGAGCCTCTCTTTCTAAATTGGGAGATGTTTATGTCAATGATGCTTTTGGAACTGCCCATCGTGCTCACAGGTA